TTTGTCTGCATCTTTCATGGCCATCATAGGAAAGTAGCAGAGTCCACTCCAAAAGTACTTCTTTCTGTATACTTTTATATCAATCTATTAAAAACTATGCACAGAAACTGTAATGGTATATTCTTTTATGTTAAACACCGCCTTATAATAGAGTATTTTTCATTTTATATGCTTTATATACTCATGTATATATATTAATACCTTCTATACACAGATACATTAAAAAAGCCTTTTATAGTATATCTGTTCAGAGCAGAAAGAAGCAGAGTCCACCTGAAAATGTATTTATGCACATATTTATACGTAAAGCAATATTTATTGACATGTAAATAAATGTTTACTTGTTTATATGTGTATATATGCATATATTTAAGTATATTTATAGACAGAGATATTAAATCACCTTGTATTATGTCAGTCATGTTATGTTGTTATGTTATTATGTTGTTACTATAACGTGATGTGTTATGTTATTGATATTCTATATCATCTTATATTAATTATATCGAGTTATTTATATGTAGTATATTCATATATAGTATATATATATAAGAATTTTATAGTATGCCTACTTTACATAGTGTATATGTTATATTAATTGTATTCACTTATTTATATGTTGCAGATTTATTCATATATAGCATATATATAAAAATGTAATATTATGACTACTTTATATAGTGCATATGTTATATTAATTGTATTCACTTATTTCTATGTTGCAGATTTATTCATACATAGTATAAGAATTTAATATTATGCCCATTTTATATAGTGTATATGTTATATATGAGACCTATCCATACTCTGTTTATAGCCTTTATTGTTCACACCCAGCCGAGAGGCAGGAGCGGAGTCCACCCAAAACATCATTGTGTTGCTATAAACCTGTCACCGTGTGAGCCATAAACAGGGAATAGAGACAGACCCAGCCCAGATCCTTATCTCCAGATGATAAGGCGATATCCCTATAGGAACCTGAACTCGTCTGAAGGCAGCAGTAGGACCACAATGGAACATCCCCCACTGCATTACACAGACCCACAGAACTCAATCAATGCCATGAGGACACCCCCGGAGCATCCAGTCTCGATGGGGGCATCTTCTTGCCTCTGTAACCTTTGTGTTTGTTGACAGCAGAAGGTTAATGGGCACCAAACCTCCTCCACCCTATGCATGATTCATTGAATCATGGCTGGTTTGAGATGGAAGACCGTCTGGCTCCAAAGACCACCTACTTCCAAAGACCATCTGGTTCCAAAGATTATCTAGTTCCAAAGAAAATCTACTCTGTGCTCAAAGATGGTCAAAGATCATCCAGTTCTATGGTTCTTAGGGTCCCAGAATCAATTGGGTTGGAGAAGACCTTCAAGACTATCAAGGCCAATCAGAAATCACATTGCAAAGCTTTTTGTGTGCCCAATTCTCCTTGGCACCAAACCCCCACGTTCTGGATGGTTCTCACCAGTGGGAGTTTCCAGAACATATTGGGAAGGAAATGGGATTCTCAGTGCTTTGCTCCCTAGAAAAACCCCAATGGAATGCTTGGGGTGATGCAAAGCATCCGGTTTTGATTCCATTTCCTATTCCTTTTCATTTTCCTGATGCTCCAGAAGGAAAAGTGCACATTTGGGCTTGTTTGTTTGCCACCAAATTTGTGCTTTTTCTATGTAAAGGAGGAGATTAATTTGTCCTAAATATAGGATTCATATCAATTCATATATATGAATTGCATTCATTTTTATAGTCTATAGACTATATATTCTCTATATATTATATCATATATATTAACATATAACATATTATATACTATTTAATATAATATCTATTTTATGATAGATTATATTATTACATCATATATATCATATATAATATATATATTAATTACATTCATATATTCATGTATATATTCATATATACATGTGAACAGGGGACGATGATTATTTGGAAGGGAACAGCCTGAGCAGCCTTCACAAAATCCATGAAAATTAATTTCTTGTCAAATAATGATAATAATAATAATATAAGAAGACTAATATTAATAAGATAGTAATAATACTATAATACTAATAATACTAATACTACTAATAATAATAATAACAAGAATGAAATAATTCCATATCTCTGCCTCTCTGCAACTGCCTTTCCCATTGCCCCAGCATTGGCCAAGAGCCTTAAGAACTGGCATTCATTGGGATGAAAACTAATAATACCAATAATATGTTTTATTAATTATCTAATGTAATTACTATTTAATTAGTATTATTAGATAATTATCTAATGTTATCAGAATTAATAACGATAATTATTCATATGAATAATACTGCCTAAATATTTAAACTTAGGATGTGTTATCCTTGGTGCTACTGCTGCTACTACTATTATTCTTAGTAATATTGTGCATATATTATTATTAATAATATATTATTATATTATTAATATATTTTATTACTAATGTAGTAACATTACTATTATTAGCATTATTCACGTTTTATTGCCCTCAATATCCATCTCAACCAACCAAAACATTCCCTCTTCCCTCCTTTCATTCCCAAGTATTTTGATGTTCAAAATCAGGGTGTTTCATTCCCAAATGGCCATTCCAGAGCTCCTGCAACAAGTGGGAAAGTCCCTGCAAAATCCAGGGCATCTCCTTGGCTCCCAATTGGGTTGGCAGGAATCAAGAGCTAAACATGGCCTGAATTATTGGGAATTATGGAATTACTCAGTTCAATTATTAAGGTCGATTATAAGTCAATGTATGAAGAGTCCAGACAAGGAGCCAGTTGGAACTAAGGAAATTATGGCCAATCCATGAGCATATCCTTGGCTTCCTCTTGGGGAGGTCCAGCTGGGGCTGGAACCCCTCTTTCTTCACTGGGATCACTCTTGGGATACTGGTTTATACAGAGCTGTAGAGCTGGGTAGAGGGCAAGAAGCCACCAGCATCACTCCTTTGAGAGCCCTGTTTTGGGGTGACACCTTCCCCATCACCCCCCTTCCATCACCACTTGCTTCCTGATGGACTCTGACCCCCACCTCCCCAATGGGATATTATGGGCAAGGCATGGACTTTGTCCCTCCTCAGACACCTCCCAAGTGCCAGGAGAGGTGAGAAGAACACCATAAACCAGTTAAATAGAGTACTGGTGACAGGGAAGGGCATGGGTGTGGTGGGGATGGTGGTGGTGGGGATGGTGGGGATGGTTGTGGTGATGCCGATGGTTGTAGTAGTGGGGATGGTGGTGGTGAGGATGGTTGTAGTGGAGGGGATGGGGGGGGGATGGGGGTGGTGGGGATGGGGGTGGTGGGGATGGTTGTAGTGGTGGGGATCGTGGTGGTGGAGGGCATGGTTGTAGTGGAGGAGATGGTGGTGGTAGGGATGGTTGTAGTGGTGGGGATCGTGGTGGTGGAGGGGATGGTTGTAGTGGAGGAGATGGTGGTGGTAGGGATGGTTGTAGTGGTGGGAATGGTGGTGGTGGGAATGGTTGTGGCGGAGGGGATGGTGGTGGTGGGGATGGTTGTGGTGGTGGGAATGGTGGTGGTGGTGGTGGTGGTTGGAGTGGAGGGGATGGTGGTGAGGAGATGGTGGTGGTGGTGGGGATGGTTGTGGTGGTGGGGATGGTTGTAGTGGTGGGGATGGTTGCAGTGCTGAGAGTAGTGGTGGGGATGGTTGTGGTGGTGGGGATGGTTGTAGTGGTGGGGATGGTTGCAGTGCTGAGAGTAGTGGTGGGGATGGTTGTAGTGGTGCAGATGGTTGTAGTGGTGGGGATGGTGGTGGTGGGGATGGTGGTGGTGGGGATGGTTGGAGTGGAGGGGATGATTGTAGTGGGGGGGATGGTGGGGGGATGGGGGTGGTGGGGATGGTTGTAGTGGTGGGGATGGTGGTGGTGGGGATGGTTGGAGTGGAGGGGATGATTGTAGTGAGGGGGATGGGGGTTGGGATGGCAATGGTGGTTGTGGTGGGGATGGTGGGGGGGCGATGGGGGGATGGTGATGGTGGTGGGGATGGTGGTGGTGGGGATGGTTGGAGTGGAGGGGATGGTGGGGGGGGATGGTTGGAGTGGAGGGGATGGGGGGCATGGGGGTGGTGGGGATGGTTGTGATGGTGGGGATGGTTGTGATGGTGGGGATGGTTGGAGTGGTGGGGATGATTGGGGGGGATGGTGGTAGGAATGGTGGTGGGGGGATGGTAGTGGTGGGGATGGTTGTGGTGGTGTCGATGGTGGTGGTGGTGGGGATGGTGGTGGTAGTGGGGATGATTGGAGTGGTGGGGATAGTTGGAGCGCTGGGGATGGTTAAAGTGGTGGGGATGGTGGTGGGGATGGTTGTAGTGGACGGGATGGTGGGGATGGGGATGGTTGGAGTGGTGGGGATAGTTGGAGCGCTGGGGATGGTTAAAGTGGTGGGGATGGTGGTGGGGATGGTTGTAGTGGACGGGATGGTGGGGATGGGGATGGTTGGAGTGGTGGGGATGGTGGTGGGGATGGGGATGGTTGTAGTGGAGGGGATGGGGATGGTTGGAGTGGTGGGGATGGTTGGAGTGGTGGGGATAGTTGGAGTGGTGTGGGGAAGGTGGTGGTGGAGATGGCAGTGGTGCAGAAGGAGGTGGTGGTCACTGAAGTGGTTCCTGATGCAGCAGTTCTAGATCTACTCTTGCCAATGGAGGGGCTCAGAGGACCATTAGGACTTACGGGGCCAGGAGGGCTGGATCGGTTGGCGGGGCTGGTGCTGCCACCACTGCCCATAGAGCTCAACAGGCCCATGGTGCTCATGCAGTGGTGTCCCCACCATCCATGGGGTGACCATGTGGTGGTGGCCACCTTGGGACCCCTCCATGTCAACCACCCTCCCCAGTGGCCCCACATGTGTCACCCAAAGAGGGGACAATAAAGTAAGTGCTTTATTCAACTACAAACATGGAGTTGATAGAACCATGCAGGGAGGAAGGTGGGAGATGCCCTGGTGCTTCCTCACCCGTGGCTCTTGGCTTCTTCTGCTCAAGGGATGATGATCTGGGATGGCTTCTGTATGTGGATCTGGGGAGGAAGGAAGGAGAGATGGCGGTGGAGCTGGGGGGGTTGTCCCCACTATGGTGGGGGGGTCCTAGGGACATGACACCCACCTTCTGAGAGGTATCCATCTTCTCCAGGTAAATCTGGGTGGCGCTGGGGGTCTCCAGGTCTGTTGGGGAAAGAAAGAGAGCATAGACCAGAGCAGCAAACTGGGGGGCTGCAGCTCCACCTGGCCACCACCACCCATTTATCATCCATCATCCATCCATCCATCATCCATTATCCATCCCTCATCCAACCATTCATCCATCATCCATCCATCATCCCTCATCCATCCATCATCCATCAATCCATCCATCCATCCATCCATCCATCCATCCATCCATCATCCGCCATCATTCATCATCCATCCATCCATCCATCCATTCATCATCCATCCATCCATCCATCATCCATCCATCCATCCATCCATCCATTCATCATCCATCCATCCATCCATCCATCATCCACCATCATTCATCATCCATCCATCCATCCATCCATCCATCCATCCATCCATCATCCATCCATCCATCCATCCATCCATCCATCCATCCATCCATCCATCATCCCTCATCCATCCATCATCCATCATCCATCATCCATCATCCATCCATCTATCCATCATCCATCATCCATCCATCCATCCAGCCAGCCAGCCAGCCAGCCAGCCAGCCATCATCCCTCCATCCATTCATCATCCCTCATCCATCCATCATCCATCCATCCATCCATCCATCCATCCATCCATCCATCCATCATCCACCATCATTCATCATCCATCGTCCACCATCCATCATCATCCACCATCCATCCATCATCCATCATCCATCATTCATCCATCATCTGTCCACCATCCATCCTTTCATCCATCCCATCCATCCATCCATCATTCATCCATCATCCATCCATCCATCCATCCATCCATCCATCCATCCATCATCCATTCATCATCTATCCATCATTCATCCATCACCCATCATCCATCCCACTAGCTCCATTACCTTCCAGCATGTATCCTTGATTGTTGGTGGCAAAGCCCTGGGGGCTGCTCCAGCTCTCTTCGATGCTGCAGTAGAGCTCCGAGATGGACGTCAACTTATCCCTGCATGGTGCCATGGAGGTGGATGAGAACCAGATCCACTCCTATGGGACAACCCCTTATCCCCACCCCACTTGCCTGTACATCTCCTTCTGCCTCCTCGCCCGCACCAGGAAGATGGTGAAGATGCCGATGGCCAACACCAGCCCGGTCACTGGGACCCCTATGGCCACCCCAACCTTGCTGATCCGTGAGCTGCAGGCCTTGTCCTGGTACCAAAATGCTGCCTTGTCCGAGCACCTGATGAGGACACATCCACATCCACGTCCACATCCACATCCAAGTGGTGACACCAGAACCAAGCCAAGGAGGGGGCACCCACTGCGTGAAGGACACCCAGTGGGGTCCTTACATGCACTCTGGTCCTTCTTTGAGCACCTTGCAAGTGCCAAAGATGCAGGGGAGGGGGTCTGTTGTTCGCTGGTCACATCTGGTGATGCAGATGACGCCGGTGGCCGTGAGGAGTGGGGAATAAAAGGAACTGAAGTTGTTCAGATTGAGGCTTTCACAGACACCTAAGGGTGGGAGGTCACAGGTCAAGGATGTGGCTTAGGGGGGTCCCAGGGTTGATAGGAACATCTCCATGGGTTCACTTACTCTTCTCAACCTCTTCCACCTTGTAGCTGGTGATGTTGGTGAACACAGCATTGAAGCAGAAAGAGCCTGGTGTGGAGAGAGAAGCTGCTGATGGGCACCCTTGGGCTCAAGCTCCATCCTCCCCCTAAACAAGGACCTTGTCCTGGCGCCAAGCAATGCATGGGACCATCATCCATCCATCCATCCATCCATCCATCCATCCATCCATCCATCATTCATTCATTCATTCATCCATCCATCATCCATCCATCCACCCATCCATCCATCATTCATCCATCCACCCATCATCCATCCATCAGCCAGCCAACCAGCCAGCCAGCCATCATCCAGCCAACCAGCCAGCCAGCCATCATCCAGCCATCATCCATCCATCCATCCATCCATCCATCCATCCATCCATCCATCCATCAGCCATCCATCAGCCAGCCAGCCAACCAGCCAGCCATCATGCATGCATCCATCCATCCATCCTTTATCCATCCATCCATCCATCCATCCATCCATCCATCCATCCATCCATCAGCCATCCATCAGCCAGCCAGCCAACCAGCCAGCCAGCCATCATGCATGCATCCATCCTTTATCCATCCATCCATCCATCCATCCATCCATCCATCCATCCTCCATCCATCAGCCAGCCAGCCAACCAGCCAGCCATCATCCATCCATCCATCCATCCATCCATCCATCCATCCATCCATCCATCCATCATCCATCAGCCAGCCATCAGCCAGCCAGCCAGCCAGCCATTACCAGCCATCAGACATCCATCCATCATCCATCCATGGCCACCACTCACAGTTGGGTTGTTCACAGTTCTCATTGCAGGTGGTGGAGTTGGTGATGGCGATGATGAGGTCATTGGAGATGGTCTTCAGTGTTTCATTGGCCTTGGTGCTTGCAGGGACCTTCAGGAGCACTGTGTAGTTCACCACGATGCTGCCCTGGCTGCAAAGAGAAGGGACACGGGTGGCTATGGCAGGGAGACCCACCTGGGACCAACGTGGTGGCTATGGCAGGGAGACCCAACTGGGACCAATGTGGGTTGGAGGGATGCAGATGCCCCATCCCTGGAGAGCATCATGAGCATCCTGGCTAGAACATGGCTTGGAGGGATGTGGATGCCCCATCTTTGGGGAACATTGTGGACCATCCTGAATAGAACATGGCTTGGAGGGATGCAGATGCCCCATCCTTGGGGAGCATCACTTCTAATTGACCCCTGTGGGTCGTCTCATTCCAAATCCCACTGCTGAAGCAGGCCAAGCGGGTCAGGAGCACTCACGTCAGTTCAAGGATCACCACATCTTGATAGCCCTCGATATTCTTGTAGAGGTCTCTCATCTGGAAGACAAAGAGAACCCATGGGGACATCTGACCCCATGCACCTCAAAGGGGTGTCCCTGGTCCTGCCAGGTCCTGACCTGCTCCTTGAACTCCTTCTCAAAATCCTGGAAAGCTGGCGAGGATTTGTCCTGGAGCTCAGTCGTGAATTCCCGGTTATCAATCTTGGTCTTCATCCCCACCGCGGCATCCAGCAGCACTTCCCAAGCAGGGGGAGAGCCATGGGCAACCGAGCCAGGTGCCCCTGCCCCTCCAGGGTGCCCTTCAGCAGGGGACCTGTTTGGGGCCTTATGGTGGCCCCATTCTCAATTTGGTCCCTCCATGGTGTTCCCATTCCCAGGGCAGTTATTCATGGTGTCCCGTTCCCAAGCTGCTTCCTCTTTGGTGTCCCCCTTCCCATGTTGGTCCCTCCATGGTGCCCAGTTCCCAGCTCAGTCCCTCCATGGTGCCCCATTCCCTGCTCAGTAACTCATGCTGGCCCCTTCTCAAGCTGGTCCCTCATTGGTGTCCCCATTCCCAGCTCAGTCCCTCCATGGTGGCCCATTCCCTGCTCAGTAACTCATGCTGGCCCCTTCTCAAGCTGGTCCCTCTTTGGTGTCCCCATTCCCAGCTCAGTCCCTCCATGGTGGCCCATTCCCTGCTCAGTAACTCATGCTGGCCCCTTCTCAAGCTGGTCCCTCTTTGGTGTCCCCATTCCCAGCTCAGTCCCTCCATGGTGCCCCATTCCCAGCTCAGTCCACCTTTAGAGGCCCTATTCCCAGGTTGGTTCCTACATGGTGTTCCCATTCCCAGCTCAGTTACTCATGATGCCCCATTCCCAAGCCACTCCCTCTTTGGTGTCCCCATTCCCATGTTGGTCCCTCCATGGTGCCCCATTCCCAGTTCGGTCCCCCTTTGGTGGCCCCATTCCCAGCTCAGTTAAGTATGACATCCCATTCCCAGGCTGGTCACTCTATGGTGGCCCCATTCTCAGTTTGGTCCATCTTTGGTGCCCCTATTCCCATGTTGGTCCCTCCATGGCGTTCCCATTCCCAGCTCAGTTACTCATGGTACCCCCATTCCCAAGCCAGTCCTTCTTTGGTGTCCCCATTCCCAAGCTGGTCCCTCTGTGGTGGCCCTGTTCCCAATTTGGTCCCTCTTTGGCGTTCCCATTCCCAGCTCAGTCCCTCTGTGGTGTCCCATTCCCATCTCAGTTACTCATGATGGCCCATTCCCAGGTCTGTCTGTCTGTGGTGGCCCCATTACCAGGTTGGTCCCTCTTTGGTGGCCCCATTCCCAGCTCAGTTACACATGGTGGCCCTTTCCCAAGCTGGTCCCTCTTCGGTGTCCCCATTCTTGCATTGGTCCCTCCATGATGCCCAGTTCCCAGCTCAGTCCCTCCATGGTGTCCCCATTCCCAGCTCAGTCACTCCATGCTGGCCCATTCCCAGTTTGGTCCCCCTATGGTGGCCCCATTCCTAGGTTTGTCCCTCTTTGATGGCCCATTCCCAGCTCACTTACTTATGGTGCCCCTTTCCCAAGCCGCTCCCTCTTTGGTGCCCCTATTCCCAGCTCAGTCCCTCCATAGTGACCCCTTTCCCAGCTCAGTTACTCATGGTAGCCCCTCCTAAAGCTGGTCCTTCTTTGGTGACCTCATTCCCAGCTCAGTCCACCTTTAGAGGCCCTATTCCCAGGCTGGTCCCTCCATGGTGTTCCCATTCCCAGCTCAATCCCTCTTTAGTGGCCCCATTCCCAATTCAGTCTCTACATGGTGTTCCCATTCCCAGCTCAGTCCCTCCATGGTGTTCCCATTCCCAGGGCAGTTACTCATGGTGGCCCATTCCCAAGCTGCTTCCTCTTCGGTGTCCCCCTTCCCATGTTGGTTCCTCCATGGTGCCCAGTTCCCAACTCAGTCCCTCCATGGTGGCCCCATTCCCAATTTAGTCCCTCCATGGTGTTCCCACTCCCAGCTCAGTTACTCATGGTGGCCCTGTTCCCAAGCTGGTCTCTATTTGGTGGCTCCATTCCCAGGCTGGTCCCTCTATGATGCCCCATTCCCAGCTCAGTTGCTCCATGGTGTTCCCATTCCCAGCTCAGTTACTCTTGGCCCACTCCCAAGCAGGTCCCTCTATGGTGGCCCTATTCCCAGGTTGGTCCCTCTATGATGGCTCATTCCTAGCTCAGTCCCTCCATTGTGGCCCATTCCCAGCTCAGTTACTCATGTTGGCCCCATTCCCAATTTGATCCCTCCATGGTGTTCCCATTCCCAGCTCAGCTCACCTTTAGAGGCCCATTCCCAGGTTTCTCTCTCTGTGATATGCCCATTCCAAGCTCAGTCACTCTTTAGTAGCCTCATTCTCAGCTCAGTCCCTCCACAGTGTCCCCATTCCCAGCTCAGTCCCTCCATGGTGTTCCCATTCCCAAGCCCTCCCTCTTTGGTGCCTCCATTCTCAGCTCAGTCCCTGCATGGTGTTCCCATTCCCAGCTCAGCTCCACATGGTGGCCCATTTCCAGGTCAGTCTGTCTGTGATGGCCCCATTCCCAGTGTGCTCCCTCTTTGGTGGCCCCATTCCCAGCTCAGTCCCTCCATGTTGTTCCCATTCCCAGCTCAGTCCCACCATGGGGCCCCCATTGCCATCTCCATCCCACCTCCAGGTGACCCCATTCCTGCTCAGCTCCCAGGATTGGGTTCCTACCATCCTTGACCTCGATGCTGTCCTTGGCCTCCTGGCACTCGCTTCCCTGGAAGTTCTCAGGGCAGAAGCAGAATCCATTGCTCCAGGTGCCCCCATTTTGGCATATCGGGAATTGGCAGGATTCCCCATAGAATCCATCAGAACATTCGCACTCAGACCCGTTCCAAAAGCCACCATTAAGGCATGGATCTGCAGGGATATGAGGGTGGGACATGGCTGGAGACACCCGGAGCCCATAGGGAAGGGCAGAGGGAAGGAGGAGGCCTCACCTGTATTTGTGCTGCTGGGAGGGGTTGTATGGAGGGTGGACCTGGGAGTGCTGGGAATGGGAATGGTGGAGCTGGATGGAGCAGTGGAAGAGACACCAGAAGCCGGGGTGGTGGTGGAGATGGAGGTGGAGAGTGTAGAAGGGGTGGAGGTTGGATACCCTGATCCAGTTTCCAAACTTGTTCCAGCTTCCAAAGTGGTAGAGGGTTCCAAAGTGGTTCCAGTCTGCAAAGCTGTTGCAGGTTCCAAAGTTGTTCCAGGTTGCAAAGCTGTTCCAGTCTCCCAAGCGGTTCCAGGTTCCAAAGTGGATGCAGGTTCAAAAGTTGTTCCAGTCTCCAAAGTGGTTGCAGATTCCAGAGTTGTTGAAGGCTCCAAAGCAGTTGCAGATTCCAAAGTAGTTCTAGTATGCAAAGTCGTTCCAGTCTCCAAAGTGGTACCAGGTTTCAAACTGGTTCCAGGTTCCAAACTGGTTGCAGATCCCAAAGAGGTTCCAGCTTCCAAAGTCATTCCAGTTCCCAAAGTGCTTCCAGATTCCAAAGTGGTTCCAGTTTCCAAAGTTGTTCCAGTCTCCAAAGAGGTTCCAGGTTCCAAAGCGGTTCCAGTATCCAAAGTAGTTTCAGTATCCAAAGTGGTTCCAGGTTCGAAAGTAGTTCCAGGTTCCAAACTGGTTGCAGATTGCAAAGCAGTTCCAGTTTCCAAAGTCATGCCAGTCTCCAAAGTGGTTCCAGTTTCCAAAGTGGTTATAGATTCCAAGGTTGCTCCAGTCTCCAAAGTGGTTCCAGTCTCCAAAGTTGTTGCAGGTTCCAAAGGGTTTCCTGGTTCAAAGGTGGTTAAAGTTTCCAAAGAGGTTCCAGATTGCAAAGTGATTGCAGTTTCCAAAGTGGTTGCAGGTTCAAGCACAGTTGTAGTTTCCAAAGAGGTTCCAGTTGCCAAAGTGCCTCCAGCTTCCACAGTGGTAAAAGATTCCAAGGTTATTCGAGTCTCCAAAGTGGTTCCAATTTCCAAAGTGGTTGCAGATCTCAAAGTGGCTCCATCTTCAAAAGTGCTTACAGTTTCCAAAGTGGTTACAGGTTCCAAGGCGGTTGCAGACTGCAAATTGGTTCCAGTTTCCCAAGTGGTTGCAGACTCCAAAGTTGCTGAAGTTTCCAAAGTGGTTCCAGTTTCCAAAGTGCTTCCAGTTTCCAAAGTGGTTCCAGGCTCCAAAGTGGTTGTAGATTCCAAAGTGGTTCCAGTTTCCAAAGTGGTTGCAGGTTCAAAGGTGCTTCCAGTCTCAAAAGAGGTTGCAGTCTCCAAAGTGGTTCCAGCTTCCAAAGTGGTTCCAGTTTCCAAAGTGGTTCCAGGTTCAAAAGTGCTTCCAGTCTCAAAAGAGGTTGCAGTCTCCAAAGTGGTTCCAGCTTCCAAAGTGGTTCCAGTTTCCAAAGTGGTTCCAGGTTCAAAAGAAGTTCCAGTTTCCAAAATGGTTGCAGATTCCAAAGCCGTTGAAGTATCCAAAGTGGTTCCGGTCTCGAAAGTGGTTCCGATTTCTAAAGTGGTTGCAGGTTCAAAAGTAGTTCCAGTTTCCATAGTGGTCACAGATTCCAAAGTGGTTCCAGTCTCCAAAGCGGTTCCAGCTTCCAAGGTGATTGCAGACTCCAAAGTAGTTGAAGTTTCCAAAGTCATTCCAGTCTCCCAGGTGGTTCCAGTCTCCCAAGTGGTTGTAGATTTCAAAGTTGCTCCAGTCTCCAAAGCTGTTCCAGTCTCCACAGTGGTTGCAGGTTCAGAAGTGGTTCCAGACTCGAAAGAGGCTGCAGTCTCTAAAGTGGCTCCAGTTTCCAAAGTGGTTGCAGATTCCAAAGCCGTTGAAGTATCCAAAGTGGTTCCAGTCTCCAAATTGGTTCCAGTTTCTAAAGTGGTTGCAGGTTCAAAAGTAGTTCCGGTTTCCACAGTGGTCACAGATTCCAAAGTGGTTCCAGGTTCAAAAGTGGTTGTAGACTTCAAAGTTGTTCCAGTTTCCAAAGCTGTTTCAGTTTCCAGTGTGGTTCCAGTTTCCAAAGTGGTTGCAGGTTCAAAAGTGCTTCTAGTCTCAAAAGTGGTTGCAGTCTCCAAAATAGTTCCAGTTTCCAAAGCGGTTCCAGTTTCCAAAGTGGTTCCAGGTTCAAAAGAAGTTCCAGTCTCAAAAGTGGTTGCAGATTCCAAAGCCGTTGAAGTATCCAAAGTGGTTCCGGTCTTCAAAGTGGTTCCGATTTCTAAAGTGGTTGCAGGTTCAAAAGTAGTGATAGTTTCCATCATGGTCACAGATTCCAAAGTGGTTCCAGTCTCAAAAGTGGTTGCAGATTTCAAAGTTGTTCCAGTCTCCAAAGCTGTTCCAGTCTCCACAGTGGTTGCAGGTTCAGAAGTGGTTCCAGACTCGAAAGAGGCTGCAGTCTCTAAAGTGGCTCCAGTTTCCAAAGTGGTTGCAGATTCCAAGGTTGTTGAAGTTTCCGAAGTGGTTCCAGTCTCCAAATTGGTTCCAGTTTCTAAAGTGGTTGCAGGTTCGAAAGGAGTTCCAGTTTCGATAGGGGTCACAGATTCCAAAGTAGATCCGGTCTCAAAAGAGACTGCAGTCTCCAAAGTGGTTCCAGTTTCCAAAGTGATTGCAGACTCCAAAGTTGTTGAAGTTTCCAAAGTGGTTCCAGTTTCCAGTGTGGTTCCAGTTTCCAAAGTGGTTGCAGGTTCAAAAGTGCTTCCAGTCTCAAAAGTGGTTGCACTAACCAAAGTAGCACCAGTTTCCAGTGTGGTTCCAAATTCCAAAGTTGTTCCAGTTTCCAAAGTAGTTCCAGTTTCCAATGTGGTTGCAGGTTCAAAAGAAGTTCCAGTTTCCAAAGTGGTTGCAGATTCCAAAGTTGTTGAAGTTTCCAAAGTGGTTCCAATTTCTAAAGTGGTTGCAGGTTCAAAAGTACTTCCAGTTTCCACAGTGGTCACAGATTCCAAAGTGGTTCCAGGCTCCAAAGTGGTTCCAGGCTCCAAAGTGGTTGTAGACTTCAAAGTTGTTCCAGTTTCCAGTGTGGTTCCAGTTTCCAAAGTGGTTGCAGGTTCAAAAGTGCTTCTAGTCTCAAAAGTGGTTGCAGTCTCCAAAGTGGTTCCAGTTTCCAAAGTAGTTCCAGTTTCCAAAGTGTTTGCAGGTTCAAAAGAAGTTCCAGTTTCCAAAGTGGTTGCAGATTCCAAAGTTGTTGAAGTTTCCAAAGTGGTTCCAATTTCTAAAGTGGTTGCAGCTTCAAAAGTACTTCCAGTTTCCACAGTGGTCACAGATTCCAAAGTGGTTCCAGGCTCCAAAGTGGTTGTAGACTTTAAAGTTGTTCCAGTTTCCAAAGCTGTTCCAGTTTCCAAAGTGGTTCCAGTTTCCAAAGTGGTTGCAGGTTCAATAGTGATTCCAGTCTCAAAAGGGGTTGTAGATTCCAAAGTTGTTGAAATTTCCAAAGTGGTTCCAGTCTCCAAAGTGGTTCCAATTTCTAAAGTGGTTGCAGGTCCAAAATTTGTTGAAGTTTCCAAAGTGGTTCCACTCTCAAAAGAGGCTGCAGTCTCCAAAGTGGTTCCAGTCTGCAACGTGGTTCCAGTTTCCAAAGTGATTGCAGACTCCAAAGTTGTTGAAGTTTCCAATCTTGTTCCAGTCTCCAAAGTTGTTCCAATTTCTAAAGTGGTTGCAGGTTCAAAAGTAGTTTCAGTTTCATATGTGGTCACAGATTCCAAACTGGTTGTAGATTCCAAAGTTCTTCCAGTCTCAAAAGTGGTTCCAGTCTCAAAAGTGGTTCCAGGTTCAAAACTGGTTCCAGGTTCAAAACTGGTTGCAGTTTCCAAAGTGGCACCAGTTTCCAGTGTGGTTCCAGTTTCCAAAGTGTTTCCAGTCTCCAACGTGGTTCCAGGTTCAAAAGCGGTTCCAGTTTCCAAAGTGGATCCAGTTTCCAAAGTGGCTCCAGTTTCCAAAGTGCTTGCAGGTTCAAAAGTGGTGTCACTCTCAAAAGAGGCTGCAGTCTCCAAAGTGCCTCCAGTCTCCAAAGCGGTTCCAGTTTCCAAAGTGGTTCCAGTCTCCAAAGTGGTTGTAGATTTCAAAGCTGTTCCAGTTTCCAGTGTGGTTCCAGTTTCCAAAGTGGTTGCAGGTTCAAAAGTGCTTCCAGTCTCAAAAGTGGTTGCAGTCTCCAAAATAGTTCCAGTTTCCAAAGCGGTTCCAGTTTCCAAAGTGGTTCCAGGTTCAAAAGAAGTTCCAGTTTCCAAAGTGGTTGCAGATTCCAAAGCCGTTGAAGTATCCAAAGTGGTTCCGGTCTTCAAAGTGGTTCCGATTTCTAAAGTGGTTGCAGGTTCAAAAGTAGTGATAGTTTCCATAGTGGTCACAGATTCCAAAGTGGCTCCAGTCTCCAAAGCGGTTCCAGTCTCAAAAGTGGTTGCAGGTTCCAAAGTTGTTGAAATTTCCAAAGTGGTTCCAGTCTCCAAAGAGGTTCCAATTTCTAAAGTGGTTGCAGGTTCAAAATTTGTTGAAGTTTCCAAAGTGGTTCCACTCTCAAAAGAGGCTGCAGTCTCCAAAGTGGTGCCAGTCTCCAAAGTGGTTCCAGTTTCCAAAGTGATTGCAGACTCCAAAGTTGTTGAAGTTTCCAAAGTGGTTCCAGTTTCCAGTGTGGTTCCCGTTTCCAAAGTGGTTGCAGGTTCAAAAGTGCTTCCAGTCTCAAAAGTGGTTGCACTAACCAAAGTAGCACCAGTTTCCAGTGTGGTTCCAAATTCCAAAGTTGTTCCAGTTTCCAAATTGGTTCCAGTTTCCAAAGTAGTTCCAGTTTCCAATGTGATTGCAGGTTCAAAAGAAGTTCCAGTTTCCAAAGTGGTTGCAGATTCCAAAGTTGTTGAAGTTTCCAAAGTGGTTCCAATTTCTAAAGTGGTTGCAGCTTCAAAAGTACTTCCAGTTTCCACAGTGGTCACAGATTCCAAAGTGGTTCCAGGCTCCAAAGTGGTTGTAGACTTCAAAGTTGTTCCAGTTTCCAAAGCTGTTCCAGTTTCCAGTGTGGTTCCAGTTTCCAAAGTGGCTGCAGGTTCAATAGTGATTCCAGTCTCAAAAGGGGTTGTAGATTCCAAAGTTGTTGAAATTTCCAAAGTGGTTCCAGTCTCCAAAGTGGTTCCAATTTCTAAAGTGGTTGCAGGTCCAAAATTTGTTGAAGTTTCCAAAGTGGTTCCACTCTCAAAAGAGGCTGCAGTCTCCAAAGTGGTTCCAGTCTGCAACGTGGTTCCAGTTTCCAAAGTGATTGCAGACTCCAAAGTTGTTGAAGTTTCCAATCTTGTTCCAGTCTCCAAAGTTGTTCCAATTTCTAAAGTGGTTGCAGGTTCAAAAGTAGTTTCAGTTTCATATGTGGTCACAGATTCCAAACTGGTTGTAGATTCCAAAGTTCTTCCAGTCTCAAAAGTGGTTCCAGTCTCAAAAGTGGTTCCAGGTTCAAAACTGGTTCCAGGTTCAAAACTGGTTGCAGTTTCCAAAGTGGCACCAGTTTCCAGTGTGGTTCCAGTTTCCAAAGTGTTTCCAGTCTCCAACGTGGTTCCAGGTTCAAAAGCGGTTCCAGTTTCCAAAGTGGATCCAGTTTCCAAAGTGGCTCCAGTTTCCAAAGTGCTTGCAGGTTCAAAAGTGGTGTCACTCTCAAAAGAGGCTGCAGTCTCCAAAGTGCCTCCAGTCTCCAAAGCGGTTCCAGTTTCCAAAGTGGTTCCAGTCTCCAAAGTGGTTGTAGATTTCAAAGCTGTTCCAGTTTCCAGTGTGGTTCCAGTTTCCAAAGTGGTTGCAGGTTCAAAAGTGCTTCTAGTCTCAAAAGTGGTTGCAGTCTCCAATGTGGTTCCAGTTTCCAAAGTGGTTCCAGTTTCCAAAGTGGATCCAGGTTCAAAAGAAGTTCCAGTTTCCAAAGTGGTTCCAGGTTCAAAAGAAGTTCCAGTTTCCAAAGGGGTTGCAGATTCCAAAGCCGTTGAAGTATCCAAAGTGGTTCCGGTCTCCAAAGCGGTTCCTATTTCTAAAGTGGTTGCAGGTACAAAAGTGGTGATAGTTTCCATAGTGGTCACAGATTCCAAAGTGGTTCCAGTCTCCCAAGTGGTTGTAGATTTCAAAGTTGTTCCAGTCTCCAAAGCTGTTCCAGTCTCCGCAGTGGTTGCAGGTTCAGAAGTGGTTCCAGACTCGAAAGAGGCTGCAGTCTCTAAAGTGGCTCCAGTTTCCAAAGTGGTTGCAGATTCCAAGGTTGTTGAAGTTTCCGAAGTGGTTCCAGTCTCCAAATTGGTTCCAGTTTCTAAAGTGGTTGCAGGTTCAAAAGTAGTTCCAGTTTCCACAGTGGTCACAGATTCCAAAGTGGTTCCAGGTTCAAAAGTGGTTGTAGACTTCAAAGTTGTTCCAGTTTCCAAAGCTGTTTCAGTTTCCAGTGTGGTTCCAGTTTCCAAAGTGGTTGCAGGTTCAAAAGTGCTTCCAGTCTCAAAAGTGGTTGCAGTCTCCAAAATAGTTCCAGTTTCCAAAGAGGTTCCAGGTTCAAAAGAAGTTCCAGTTTCCAAAGTGGTTGCAGATTCCAAAGCCGTTGAAGTATCCAAAGTGGTTCCGGTCTTCAAAGTGGTTCCGATTTCTAAAGTGGTTGCAGGTTCAAAAGTAGTGATAGTTTCCATAGTGGTCACAGATTCCAAAGTGGTTCCAGTCTCCAAAGTGGTTCCAGTCTCAAAAGTGGTTGCACGTTCCAAAGTTGTTGAAATTTCCAAAGTGGTTCCAGTCTCCAAAGAGGTTCCAATTTCTAAAGTGGTTGCAGGTTCAAAATTTGTTGAAGTTTCCAAAGTGGTTCCACTCTCAAAAGAGGCTGCAGTCTCCAAAGTGGTGCCAGTCTCCAAAGTGGTGCCAGTCTCCAAAGTGGTTCCAGTTTCCAAAGTGATTGCAGATTCCAAAGTTGTTGAAGTTTCCAAAGTTGTTCCAGTCCCCAAAGTGGTTCCGATTTCTAAAGTGGTTGCAGGTTCAAAAGTAGTTCCAGTTTCGATAGGGGTCACAGATTCAAAAGTAGATCCGGTCTCTAAAGAGACTGCAGCCTCCAAAGTAGTTCCAGTTTCCAAAGTGATTGCAGACTCCAAAGTTGTTGAAGTTTCCAAAGTGGTTCCAGTTTCCAGTGTGGTTCCAGTTTCCAAAGTGGTTGAAGGTTCAAAAGTGCTTCCAGTCTCAAAAGTGGTTGCACTAACCAAAGTAGCACCAGTTTCCAGTGTGGTTCCAAATTCCAAAGTTGTTCCAGTTTCCAAAGTAGTTCCAGTTTCCAATGTGGTTGCAGGTTCAAAAGAAGTTCCAGTTTCCAATGTGGTTGCAGGTTCAAAAGAAGTTCCAGTTTCCAAAGTGGTTGCAGATTCCAAAGTTGTTGAAGTTTCCAAAGTGGTTCCAGTTTCCACAGTGGTCACAGATTCCAAAGTGGTTCCAGGCTCCAAAGTGGTTCCAGGCTCCAAAGTGGTTGTAGACTTCAAAGTTGTTCCAGTTTCCAAAGCTGTTCCAGTTTCCAGTGTGGTTCCAGTTTCCAAAGTGGTTGCAGGTTCAATAGTGATTCCAGTCTCAAAAGGGGTTGTAGATTCCAAAGTTGTTGAAATTTCCAAAGTGGTTCCAGTCTCCAAAGTGGTTCCAATTTCTAAAGTGGTTGCAGGTTCAAAATTTGTTGAAGTTTCCAAAGTGGTTCCACTCTCAAAAGAGGCTGCAGTCTCCAAAGTGGTTCCAGTCTGCAACGTGGTTCCAGTTTCCAAAGTGATTGCAGACTCCAAAGTTGTTGAAGTTTCCAATCTTGTTCCAGTCTCCAAAGTTGTTCCAATTTCTAAAGTGGTTGCAGGTTCAAAAGTAGTTTCAGTTTCATATGTGGTCACAGATTCCAAACTGGTTGTAGATTCCAAAGTTCTTCCAGTCTCAAAAGTGGTTCCAGTCTCAAAAGTGGTTCCAGGTTCAAAACTGGTTGCAGTTTCCAAAGTGGCACCAGTTTCCAGTGTGGTTCCAGTTTCCAAAGTGTTTCCAGTCTCCAACGTGGTTCCAGGTTCAAAAGCGGTTCCAGTTTCCAAAGTGGATCCAGTTTCCAAAGTGGCTCCAGTTTCCAAAGTGCTTGCAGGTTCAAAAGTGGTGTCACTCTCAAAAGAGGCTGCAGTCTCCAAAGTGCCTCCAGTCTCCAAAGCGGTTCCAGTTTCCAAAGTGGTTCCAGTCTCCAAAGTGGTTGTAGATTTCAAAGCTGTTCCAGTTTCCAGTGTGGTTCCAGTTTCCAAAGTGGTTGCAGGTTCAAAAGTGCTTCTAGTCTCAAAAGTGGTCGCAGTCTCCAAAGTGGTTCCAGTTTCCAAAGTGGTTCCAGTTTCCAAAGTGGATCCAGGTTCAAAAGAAGTTCCAGTTTCCAAAGTGGTTGCAGATTCCAAAGCCGTTGAAGTATCCAAAGTGGTTCCGGTCTTCAAAGTGGTTCCTATTTCTAAAGTGGTTGCAGGTTCAAAAGTGGTGATAGTTTCCATAGTGGTCACAGATTCCAAAGTGGTTCCAGTCTCCCAAGTGGTTGTAGATTTCAAAGTTGTTCCAGTCTCCAAAGCTGTTCCAGTCTCCACAGTGGTTGCAGGTTCAGAAGTGGTTCCAGACTCGAAAGAGGCTGCAGTCTCTAAAGTGGCTCCAGTTTCCAAAGTGGTTGCAGATTCCAAGGTTGTGGAAGTTTCCAAAGTGGTTCCAGTCTCCAAATTGGTTCCAGTTTCTAAAGTGGTTGCAGGTTCAAAAGTAGTTCGAGTTTCCACAGTGTTCACAGATTCCAAAGTGGTTCCAGGTTCAAAAGTGGTTGTAGACTTCAAAGTTGTTCCAGTTTCCAAAGCTGTTTCAGTTTCCAGTGTGGTTCCAGTTTCCAAAGTGGTTGCAGGTTCAAAAGTGCTTCCAGTCTCAAAAGTGGTTGCAGTCTCCAAAATAGTTCCAGTTTCCAAAGCGGTTCCAGTTTCCAAAGTGGTTCCAGGTTCAAAAGAAGTTCCAGTTTCCAAAGTGGTTGCAGATTCCAAAGCCGTTGAAGTATCCAAAGTGGTTCCGGTCTTCAAAGTGGTTCCGATTTCTAAAGTGGTTGCAGGTTCAAAAGTAGTGATAGTTTCCATAGTGGTCACAGATTCCAAAGTGGCTCCAGTCTCCAAAGCGGTTCCAGTCTCAAAAGTGGTTGCAGGTTCCAAAGTTGTTGAAATTTCCAAAGTGGTTCCAGTCTCCAAAGAGGTTCCAATTTCTAAAGTGGTTGCAGGTTCAAAATTTGTTGAAGTTTCCAAAGTGGTTCCACTCTCAAAAGAGGCTGCAGTCTCCAAAGTGGTGCCAGTCTCCAAAGTGGTTCCAGTTTCCAAAGTGATTGCAGACTCCAAAGTTGTTGAAGTTTCCAAAGTGGTTCCAGTTTCCAGTGTGGTTCCCGTTTCCAAAGTGGTTGCAGGTTCAAAAGTGCTTCCAGTCTCAAAAGTGGTTGCACTAACCAAAGTAGCACCAGTTTCCAGTGTGGTTCCAAATTCCAAAGTTGTTCCAGTTTCCAAATTGGTTCCAGTTTCCAAAGTAGTTCCAGTTTCCAATGTGATTGCAGGTTCAAAAGAAGTTCCAGTTTCCAAAGTGGTTGCAGATTCCAAAGTTGTTGAAGTTTCCAAAGTGGTTCCAATTTCTAAAGTGGTTGCAGCTTCAAAAGTACTTCCAGTTTCCACAGTGGTCACAGATTCCAAAGTGGTTCCAGGCTCCAAAGTGGTTGTAGACTTCAAAGTTGTTCCAGTTTCCAAAGCTGTTCCAGTTTCCAGTGTGGTTCCAGTTTCCAAAGTGGCTGCAGGTTCAATAGTGATTCCAGTCTCAAAAGGGGTTGTAGATTCCAAAGTTGTTGAAATTTCCAAAGTGGTTCCAGTCTCCAAAGTGGTTCCAATTTCTAAAGTGGTTGCAGGTCCAAAATTTGTTGAAGTTTCCAAAGTGGTTCCACTCTCAAAAGAGGCTGCAGTCTCCAAAGTGGTTCCAGTCTGCAACGTGGTTCCAGTTTCCAAAGTGATTGCAGACTCCAAAGTTGTTGAAGTTTCCAATCTTGTTCCAGTCTCCAAAGTTGTTCCAATTTCTAAAGTGGTTGCAGGTTCAAAAGTAGTTTCAGTTTCATATGTGGTCACAGATTCCAAACTGGTTGTAGATTCCAAAGTTCTTCCAGTCTCAAAAGTGGTTCCAGTCTCAAAAGTGGTTCCAGTTTCAAAACTGGTTCCAGGTTCAAAACTGGTTGCAGTTTCCAAAGTGGCACCAGTTTCCAGTGTGGTTCCAGTTTCCAAAGTGTTTCCAGTCTCCAACGTGGTTCCAGGTTCAAAAGCGGTTCCAGTTTCCAAAGTGGATCCAGTTTCCAAAGTGGCTCCAGTTTCCAAAGTGCTTGCAGGTTCAAAAGTGGTGTCACTCTCAAAAGAGGCTGCAGTCTCCAAAGTGCCTCCAGTCTCCAAAGCGGTTCCAGTTTCCAAAGTGGTTCCAGTCTCCAAAGTGGTTGTAGATTTCAAAGCTGTTCCAGTTTCCAGTGTGGTTCCAGTTTCCAAAGTGGTTGCAGGTTCAAAAGTGCTTCTAGTCTCAAAAGTGGTTGCAGTCTCCAATGTGGTTCCAGTTTCCAAAGTGGTTCCAGTTTCCAAAGTGGATCCAGGTTCAAAAGAAGTTCCAGTTTCCAAAGTGGTTCCAGGTTCAAAAGAAGTTCCAGTTTCCAAAGGGGTTGCAGATTCCAAAGCCGTTGAAGTATCCAAAGTGGTTCCGGTCTCCAAAGCGGTTCCTATTTCTAAAGTGGTTGCAGGTTCAAAAGTGGTGATAGTTTCCATAGTGGTCACAGATTCCAAAGTGGTTCCAGTCTCCCAAGTGGTTGTAGATTTCAAAGTTGTTCCAGTCTCCAAAGCTGTTCCAGTCTCCGCAGTGGTTGCAGGTTCAGAAGTGGTTCCAGACTCGAAAGAGGCTGCAGTCTCTAAAGTGGCTCCAGTTTCCAAAGTGGTTGCAGATTCCAAGGTTGTTGAAGTTTCCGAAGTGGTTCCAGTCTCCAAATTGGTTCCAGTTTCTAAAGTGGTTGCAGGTTCAAAAGTAGTTCCAGTTTCCACAGTGGTCACAGATTCCAAAGTGGTTCCAGGTTCAAAAGTGGTTGTAGACTTCAAAGTTGTTCCAGTTTCCAAAGCTGTTTCAGTTTCCAGTGTGGTTCCAGTTTCCAAAGTGGTTGCAGGTTCAAAAGTGCTTCCAGTCTCAAAAGTGGTTGCAGTCTCCAAAATAGTTCCAGTTTCCAAAGAGGTTCCAGGTTCAAAAGAAGTTCCAGTTTCCAAAGTGGTTGCAGATTCCAAAGCCGTTGAAGTATCCAAAGTGGTTCCGGTCTTCAAAGTGGTTCCGATTTCTAAAGTGGTTGCAGGTTCAAAAGTAGTGATAGTTTCCATAGTGGTCACAGATTCCAAAGTGGTTCCAGTCTCCAAAGTGGTTCCAGTCTCAAAAGTGGTTGCACGTTCCAAAGTTGTTGAAATTTCCAAAGTGGTTCCAGTCTCCAAAGAGGTTCCAATTTCTAAAGTGGTTGCAGGTTCAAAATTTGTTGAAGTTTCCAAAGTGGTTCCACTCTCAAAAGAGGCTGCAGTCTCCAAAGTGGTGCCAGTCTCCAAAGTGGTGCCAGTCTCCAAAGTGGTTCCAGTTTCCAAAGTGATTGCAGATTCCAAAGTTGTTGAAGTTTCCAAAGTTGTTCCAGTCCCCAAAGTGGTTCCGATTTCTAAAGTGGTTGCAGGTTCAAAAGTAGTTCCAGTTTCGATAGGGGTCACAGATTCAAAAGTAGATCCGGTCTCTAAAGAGACTGCAGCCTCCAAAGTAGTTCCAGTTTCCAAAGTGATTGCAGACTCCAAAGTTGTTGAAGTTTCCAAAGTGGTTCCAGTTTCCAGTGTGGTTCCAGTTTCCAAAGTGGTTGAAGGTTCAAAAGTGCTTCCAGTCTCAAAAGTGGTTGCACTAACCAAAGTAGCACCAGTTTCCAGTGTGGTTCCAAATTCCAAAGTTGTTCCAGTTTCCAAAGTAGTTCCAGTTTCCAATGTGGTTGCAGGTTCAAAAGAAGTTCCAGTTTCCAATGTGGTTGCAGGTTCAAAAGAAGTTCCAGTTTCCAAAGTGGTTGCAGATTCCAAAGTTGTTGAAGTTTCCAAAGTGGTTCCAGTTTCCACAGTGGTCACAGATTCCAAAGTGGTTCCAGGCTCCAAAGTGGTTCCAGGCTCCAAAGTGGTTGTAGACTTCAAAGTTGTTCCAGTTTCCAAAGCTGTTCCAGTTTCCAGTGTGGTTCCAGTTTCCAAAGTGGTTGCAGGTTCAATAGTGATTCCAGTCTCAAAAGGGGTTGTAGATTCCAAAGTTGTTGAAATTTCCAAAGTGGTTCCAGTCTCCAAAGTGGTTCCAATTTCTAAAGTGGTTGCAGGTTCAAAATTTGTTGAAGTTTCCAAAGTGGTTCCACTCTCAAAAGAGGCTGCAGTCTCCAAAGTGGTTCCAGTCTGCAACGTGGTTCCAGTTTCCAAAGTGATTGCAGACTCCAAAGTTGTTGAAGTTTCCAATCTTGTTCCAGTCTCCAAAGTTGTTCCAATTTCTAAAGTGGTTGCAGGTTCAAAAGTAGTTTCAGTTTCATATGTGGTCACAGATTCCAAACTGGTTGTAGATTCCAAAGTTCTTCCAGTCTCAAAAGTGGTTCCAGTCTCAAAAGTGGTTCCAGGTTCAAAACTGGTTGCAGTTTCCAAAGTGGCACCAGTTTCCAGTGTGGTTCCAGTTTCCAAAGTGTTTCCAGTCTCCAACGTGGTTCCAGGTTCAAAAGCGGTTCCAGTTTCCAAAGTGGATCCAGTTTCCAAAGTGGCTCCAGTTTCCAAAGTGCTTGCAGGTTCAAAAGTGGTGTCACTCTCAAAAGAGGCTGCAGTCTCCAAAGTGCCTCCAGTCTCCAAAGCGGTTCCAGTTTCCAAAGTGGTTCCAGTCTCCAAAGTGGTTGTAGATTTCAAAGCTGTTCCAGTTTCCAGTGTGGTTCCAGTTTCCAAAGTGGTTGCAGGTTCAAAAGTGCTTCTAGTCTCAAAAGTGGTCGCAGTCTCCAAAGTGGTTCCAGTTTCCAAAGTGGTTCCAGTTTCCAAAGTGGATCCAGGTTCAAAAGAAGTTCCAGTTTCCAAAGTGGTTGCAGATTCCAAAGCCGTTGAAGTATCCAAAGTGGTTCCGGTCTTCAAAGTGGTTCCTATTTCTAAAGTGGTTGCAGGTTCAAAAGTGGTGATAGTTTCCATAGTGGTCACAGATTCCAAAGTGGTTCCAGTCTCCCAAGTGGTTGTAGATTTCAAAGTTGTTCCAGTCTCCAAAGCTGTTCCAGTCTCCACAGTGGTTGCAGGTTCAGAAGTGGTTCCAGACTCGAAAGAGGCTGCAGTCTCTAAAGTGGCTCCAGTTTCCAAAGTGGTTGCAGATTCCAAGGTTGTGGAAGTTTCCAAAGTGGTTCCAGTCTCCAAATTGGTTCCAGTTTCTAAAGTGGTTGCAGGTTCAAAAGTAGTTCGAGTTTCCACAGTGTTCACAGATTCCAAAGTGGTTCCAGGTTCAAAAGTGGTTGTAGACTTCAAAGTTGTTCCAGTTTCCAAAGCTGTTTCAGTTTCCAGTGTGGTTCCAGTTTCCAAAGTGGTTGCAGGTTCAAAAGTGCTTCCAGTCTCAAAAGTGGTTGCAGTCTCCAAAATAGTTCCAGTTTCCAAAGCGGTTCCAGTTTCCAAAGAGGTTCCAGGTTCAAAAGAAGTTCCAGTCTCAAAAGCGGTTGCAGATTCCAAAGCCGTTGTAGTATCCAAAGTGGTTCCGGTCTCCAAAGCGGTTCCGATTTCTAAAGTGGTTGCAGGTTCAAAAGTAGTGATAGTTTCCATAGTGGTCACAGATTCCAAAGTGGTTCCAGTCTCCAAAGTGGTTCCAGTCTCAAAAGTGGTTGCAGGTTCCAAAGTTGTTGAAATTTCCAAAGTGGTTCCAGTCTCCAAAGAGGTTCCAATTTCTAAAGTGGTTGCAGGTTCAAAATTTGTTGAAGTTTCCAAAGTGGTTCCACTATCAAAAGAGGCTGCAGTCTCCAAAGTGGTGCCAGTCTCCAAAGTGGTTCCAGTTTCCAAAGTGATTGCAGATTCCAAAGTTGTTGAAGTTTCCAAAGTTGTTCCAGTCCCCAAAGTGGTTCCGATTTCTAAAGTGGTTGCAAGTTCAAAAGTAGTTCCAGTTTCGATAGGGGTCACAGATTCAAAAGTAGATCCGGTCTCAAAAGAGACTGCAGTCTCCAAAGTGGTTCCAGTTTCCAAAGTGATTGCAGACTCCAAAGTTGTTGAAGTTTCCAAAGTGGTTCCAGTTTCCAGTGTGGTTCCAGTTTCCAAAGTGGTTGCAGGTTCAAAAGTGCTTCCAGTCTCAAAAGTGGTTGCACTAACCAAAGTAGCTCCAGTTTCCAAAGTGGTTCCAAATTCCAAAGTTGTTCCGGTTTCCAAATTGGTTCCAGTTTCCAAAGTAGTTCCAGTTTCCAATGTGGTTGCAGGTTCAAAAGAAGTTCCAGTTTCCAAAGTGGTTGCAGATTCCAAAGCTGTTGAAGTTTCCAAAGTGGTTCCAATTTCTAAAGTGGTTGCAGGTTCAAAAGTACTTCCAGTTTCCACAGTGGTCACAGATTCCAAAGTGGTTCCAGGCTCCAAAGTGGTTCCAGGTTCAAAAGTGGTTGTAGACTTCAAAGTTGCTCCAGTTTCCAAAGCTGTTCCAGTTTCCAGTGTGGTTCCAGTTTCCAAAGTGGTTGCAGGTTCAATAGTCATTCCAGTCTCCAAAGTGGTTGTAGATTCCAAAGTTGTTGAAATTTCCAAAGTGGTTCCAGTCTCCAAAGTGGTTCCAATTTCTAAAGTGGTTGCAGGTCCAAAATTTGTTGAAGTTTCTAAAGTGGTTCCAGTTTCCAAAGTGGTTCCAGGTTCAGAAGTGGTTCCAGTATCGAAAGAGGCTGCAGTCTCCAAAGTGGTTCCAGTTTCCAAAGTGGATCCAGTCTCCAAAGTGGTTCCAGATTCTAAAGTGACTCCAATTTCCAAAGTGGTTGCAGGTTCAAAAGTGGTTCCAGTCTCGAAAGAGGCTGCAGTCTCCAAAGTGGTTCCAGTTTCCAAAGTGGTTCCAGCTTCCAAGGTGATTGCAGACACCAAACTAGTTGAAGTTTGCAAAGTCATTCCAGTCTCCCAGGTGGTTCCAGTCTCCCAAGTGGTTGTAGATTTCAAAGTTGTTCCAGTCTCCAAAGCTGTTCCAGTCTCCACAGTGGTTGCAGGTTCAGAAGTGGTTCCAGACTCGAAAGAGGCTGCAGTCTCTAAAGTGGCTCCGGTTTCCAAAGTGGTTGCAGATTCCAAAGTTGTGGAAGTTTCCAAAGTGATTCCAGTCTCCAAATTGGTTCCAGTTTCTAAAGTGGTTGCAGGTTCAAAAGTAGTTCCGGTTTCCACAGTGGCCACAGATTCCAAAGTGGTTCCAGGTTCAAAAGTGGTTGTAGACTTCAAAGTTGTTCCAGTTTCCAAAGCTGTTTCAGTTTCCAGTGTGGTTCCAGTTTCCAAAGTGGTTCCAGGTTCAAAAGAAGTTCCAGTCTCAAAAGCGGTTGCAGATTCCAAAGCCGTTGTAGTATCCAAAGTGGTTCCGGTCTCCAAAGCGGTTCCGATTCCTAAAGTGGTTGCAGGTTCAGAAGTAGTGATAGTTTCCATAGTGGTCACAGATTCCAAAGTGGTTCCAGTCTCAAAAGTGGTTGCAGGTTCCAAAGTTGTTGAAATTTCCAAAGTGGTTCCAGTCTCCAAAGAGGTTCCAATTTCTAAAGTGGTTGCAGGTTCAAAATTTGTTGAAGTTTCCAAAGTGGTTCCACTATCAAAAGAGGCTGCAGTCTCCAAAGTGGTGCCAGTCTCCAAAGTGGTTCCAGTTTCCAAAGTGATTGCAGATTCCAAAGTTGTTGAAGTTTCCAAAGTTGTTCCAGTCCCCAAAGTGGTTCCGATTTCTAAAGTGGTTGCAGGTTCTAAAGTAGTTCCAGTTTCGATAGGGGTCACAGATTCAAAAGTAGATCCGGTCTCGAAAGAGACTGCAGTCTCCAAAGTGGTTCCAGTTTCCAAAGTGATTGCAGACTCCAAAGTTGTTGAAGTTTCCAAAGTGGTTCCAGTTTCCAGTGTGGTTCCAGTTTCCAAAGTGGTTGCAGGTTCAAAAGTGCTTCCAGTCTCAAAAGTGGTTGCACTAACCAAAGTAGCACCAGTTTCCAGTGTGGTTCCAAATTCCAAAGTTGTTCCAGTTTCCAAAGTAGTTCCAGTTTCCAATGTGGTTGCAGGTTCAAAAGAAGTTCCAGTTTCCAAAGTGGTTGCAGATTCCAAAGTTGTTGAAGTTTCCAAAGTGGTTCCAATTTCTAAAGTGGTTGCAGCTTCAAAAGTACTTCCAGTTTCCACAGTGGTCACAGATTCCAAAGTGGTTCCAGGCTCCAAAGTGGTTCCAGGCTCCAAAGTGGTTGTAGACTTTAAAGTTGTTCCAGTTTCCAAAGCTGTTCCAGTTTCCAGTGTGGTTCCAGTTTCCAAAGTGGTTGCAGGTTCAATAGTGATTCCAGTCTCAAAAGGGGTTGTAGATTCCAAAGTTGTTGAAATTTCCAAAGTGGTTCCAGTCTCCAAAGTGGTTCCAATTTCTAAAGTGGTTGCAGGTCCAAAATTTGTTGAAGTTTCCAAAGTGGTTCCACTCTCAAAAGAGGCTGCAGTCTCCAAAGTGGTTCCAGTCTGCAACGTGGTTCCAGTTTCCAAAGTGATTGCAGACTCCAAAGTTGTTGAAGTTTCCAATCTTGTTCCAGTCTCCAAAGTTGTTCCAATTTCTAAAGTGGTTGCAGGTTCAAAAGTAGTTTCAGTTTCATATGTGGTCACAGATTCCAAACTGGTTGTAGATTCCAAAGTTCTTCCAGTCTCAAAAGTGGTTCCAGTCTCAAAAGTGGTTCCAGGTTCAAAACTGGTTCCAGGTTCAAAACTGGTTGCAGTTTCCAAAGTGGCACCAGTTTCCAGTGTGGTTCCAGTTTCCAAAGTGTTTCCAGTCTCCAACGTGGTTCCAGGTTCAAAAGCGGTTCCAGTTTCCAAAGTGGATCCAGTTTCCAAAGTGGCTCCAGTTTCCAAAGTGCTTGCAGGTTCAAAAGTGGTGTCACTCTCAAAAGAGGCTGCAGTCTCCAAAGTGCCTCCAGTCTCCAAAGCGGTTCCAGTTTCCAAAGTGGTTCCAGTCTCCAAAGTGGTTGTAGATTTCAAAGCTGTTCCAGTTTCCAGTGTGGTTCCAGTTTCCAAAGTGGTTGCAGGTTCAAAAGTGCTTCTAGTCTCAAAAGTGGTTGCAGTCTCCAATGTGGTTCCAGTTTCCAAAGTGGTTCCAGTTTCCAAAGTGGATCCAGGTTCAAAAGAAGTTCCAGTTTCCAAAGTGGTTGCAGATTCCAAAGCCGTTGAAGTATCCAAAGTGGTTCCGGTCTTCAAAGCGGTTCCGATTTCTAAAGTGGTTGCAGGTTCAAAAGTAGTGATAGTTTCCATAGTGGTCACAGATTCCAAAGTGGTTCCAGTCTCCAAAGTGGTTCCAGTCTCAAAAGTGGTTGCAGGTTCCAAAGTTGTTGAAATTTCCAAAGTGGTTCCAGTCTCCAAAGAGGTTCCAATTTCTAAAGTGGTTGCAGGTTCAAAATTTGTTGAAGTTTCCAAAGTGGTTCCACTATCAAAAGAGGCTGCAGTCTCCAAAGTGGTGCCAGTCTCCAAAGTGGTTCCAGTTTCCAAAGTGATTGCAGATTCCAAAGTTGTTGAAGTTTCCAAAGTTGTTCCAGTCCCCAAAGTGGTTCCGATTTCTAAAGTGGTTGCAAGTTCAAAAGTAGTTCCAGTTTCGATAGGGGTCACAGATTCAAAAGTAGATCCGGTCTCAAAAGAGACTGCAGTCTCCAAAGTGGTTCCAGTTTCCAAAGTGATTGCAGACTCCAAAGTTGTTGAAGTTTCCAAAGTGGTTCCAGTTTCCAGTGTGGTTCCAGTTTCCAAAGTGGTTGCAGGTTCAAAAGTGCTTCCAGTCTCAAAAGTGGTTGCACTAACCAAAGTAGCTCCAGTTTCCAAAGTGGTTCCAAATTCCAAAGTTGTTCCGGTTTCCAAATTGGTTCCAGTTTCCAAAGTAGTTCCAGTTTCCAATGTGGTTGCAGGTTCAAAAGAAGTTCCAGTTTCCAAAGTGGTTGCAGATTCCAAAGCTGTTGAAGTTTCCAAAGTGGTTCCAATTTCTAAAGTGGTTGCAGGTTCAAAAGTACTTCCAGTTTCCACAGTGGTCACAGATTCCAAAGTGGTTCCAGGCTCCAAAGTGGTTCCAGGTTCAAAAGTGGTTGTAGACTTCAAAGTTGCTCCAGTTTCCAAAGCTGTTCCAGTTTCCAGTGTGGTTCCAGTTTCCAAAGTGGTTGCAGGTTCAATAGTGATTCCAGTCTCCAAAGTGGTTGTAGATTCCAAAGTTGTTGAAATTTCCAAAGTGGTTCCAGTCTCCAAAGAGGTTCCAATTTCTAAAGTGGTTGCAGGTCCAAAATTTGTTGAAGTTTCTAAAGTGGTTCCAGTTTCCAAAGTGGTT